CATATGCTCCGCTGCAAGAAGGAAAAGTGGAGCAAACAGGTGACAGTCTGGTACCCAAGGGATGGCACTAGGAGCCGAGGTCGTAAAGCAATAAGATGGGAGGATGACCTAAAAATGACCTTAGGACCACTTTGGATGAGAGTAGCGGCAGACAGAATGCAATGGAGAGACTTGGAGGAGGCCTTTGCCGTAAGGCAAACCGAACCAAGAGACATCTTATAATGAAAGTGTAGTTTTAGTTTATAAGTTTTACTTTCTTTTATAAACTCTTTTTAAATACTTTTATTTCAATTTTTTACTAAGACACGAAAATATGTAACATGAAATTATTTCGGAAATAAAGGCTTTATTATTATTATTATTATATTCTTTTGATGAAGTTGGCAAAAAAAGTATTTCATTTATTCCAATAATTTATAGTTGTTCACCACCTACTAAAGGATTAATAGATATGTGTGATAGATTTACTTAGAAATGATAATTATTCCCACAAAAGTATTTACTCACTGTATGATAGGTATTGATTATAGTAATGTATCTACTACCTTGGATAAAATAGGTAGTAACAAACTTTATGCCTTCAATAATAATCTATATCAAATGAACCTATTGATAGACAGGGCATATTATAAGTAGGCCAATAACACAACAGTCATTAAGCATTGCATTAGGTATTAGATAACATTCAAGAAAAAAATTAGTTAAATAAAAAAGTTATGACTACTCTTTTCCAAAAAAAACTATGGCAATTACCTTAACTGACATGAAAAGCCATTAGGTACTTACTATATATATTAATTTTCTACTTTCAGAATGGAAGAGATTCAAATGAGTTTTTTTTTAATGAGATTCCATGTGTGAGATGTGTGAAGTTATTATTTTTTTTACATATTACTATTTATTTCAGAATCATAAAAATTGTTCTAAATTTTAATGTTCTTTGATAAATGCTCCATACTTAAAATTTTACTTATTTTAAATTTAAGATGCCCATAAGAAACCCGAATGTTAATTTTAAAAAGTTTGTACCATTTATGAAAATAAATAAACTATCAAAAGTTTGTAGCATTAAAAAAAAACTTCATACAAAAGTGTAATAACACTTGTCTATTAAATTTTTATACCAAAATTTCTTTATAAACTTATTCATACTACAAATTATTATATTATGTTTTAAATTAAATTATGTACTGTAAATGAAACCTAAACCACTTTGAAACTTATTTAGTTCATACAGATACCAATTAAAAAATTGTGACTGACACATCAGAGCCATTCCTTAACATGGTAAACTTTGTAATATATATTTATTATTTAATATAGATTTAGTTAATTATTTTAAAAATACCGAGCCCTAAGACCTAACCTCGACTTTGAATAAGTGCTATTCAATATTCTTTTTACATACTACAAAAACAATAAAAAATTATAGTTCATAAACATAACAACATCCTTAAAGTTATTAAATTTATAAAAATTGATCATAAGTAAAACCACGTGAAACCCATACAAATATTGCATATTATAACCAGACTAAGTTCAAAAGCTTCTTTTCTACCAAGCCATGCCTTACCTATCCAGTGTATTTCATTTCATCGGATTAAATTGGAAATCCAACAGGTACAACAGGCAAACACACGACCTTATTTACATTTGAATTAGTTATACTTTGAAGGACTTACCTGGTGGGTTGAACTCAAAGAAATATATTAAAAGAGAAGTATCACAGGTATATGTTAACGTATAACCAACAGCGGAGCGACAACTTATGTACTGTAACAGTATAACTTGGTCTAATGAATCGTGAAGGAAGTTATTGCATCGTACGGCCGCGCCGTCCGTATTCATTCATTTATTTGAATTAGTAGTTGACGTTATGTGTGCGACAAAGATAGAAGCAGTAATTTAAACCATTTCGATTTTTAGTAGCACCATATAACTCGCCCAACGTTAATAGATACTTTCATTATATGTATTTACAAATAAAATAACTAAGTAGATAATGCAAACAAAGTTAACACAATTAAATCAATATATGGTAAAACTGCTAGAGGAAGGCCTCTACAGTTATACTAATTTTAATTGTTATGGTTCAAAACGGTGTTTTGTATTTTGAACGGGACGGAAGGGTTCTTACGGTCTCACAGGAAAAAAGGGTTGAGCAATTTTTTTGGTGATTTTTACTGAGTGACTGCAGGCCAATCCTCCTCCCTCTTAATTCTGGGAGAAGGGCACTCAAAGAGCATTAGCGTACTTGTGTTTCTTGAGTATAGAAGCAAAGAAGGGGCTTGAAAGGGACCCTTGGGGGGTATAACATTATAATGGGCAAGTTCAGACCGTGGCTCCCACCACTGACTAAGATCTTGGACCCGGAGTTTGTAGGAAGAGTGGTAGATAGCCTCTTCCCCAAGAACCAGGGTAGTTCTTCATGACCTCTTCCAACCGACGACTTCGACGTGACGGAGAAAGAGCTGGACCGAGCCGTGAAACGACTCGCTGCCCGCGACACTTCCCCGGGTCCTGATGGGATCCCAGGGCGAGCATGGGTTTGCGCTTTCGCTGTCCTAGTCAATAGGCTGAGACGGTTGTTTACCAGCTGCTTGCGTAATAGCATATTCCCTTCCGGCTCGAAGGAAGCCAGACTGGTACTTATCCAGAAACCTGGCAGGGCTGCAGATTCTCCTTCAGCGTTCCGACCGATATGCTTGCTGAACGGGGCGGCGAAACTCTTCAAAAGAGTTATTGCAGCCCGTATCAATCAGCAACTGTCGCGAGTGGGTCCCTACTTATCAGATAACCAATTTGGCTTCCGATAGGGACGATAAACGCTGGAAGAGGTTGTCTGTCAGGGGAGAGTGGCGTTGGCCGTCAGTCTTGACATAGTCAACGCCTTCAACTCCCTCCCGTGGGGGGCTATTAGGGAGGCACTGGTGTATCACCCGTTGCCCCCGTACCTGCAGGATATCTTCGGGGTTTATCTGAGCGACAGATGCATATCGTATATGCATCTATCGCATACGAAGAATGTCGAAGGGCGGTCACATGCGGGGTTTCCCCAGGGGTCGGTCTTAGGACTCCGTCTATGGAACCTCGCGTATGATGCGGTCCTGAGAGCCAGTCTTCCCCGGGATTGAGTGTTGTCTGCTACGCGGACGACACTTATATATATTTCTAAAAACACTTATATATTTCTAAAAACATGCATATTTAGTACACCTGCCTGGGTGTACTTTATCTAAAATATGTATGTTTTTACAGAACTTTATACAGGCTTTTACAGACCGTGCTCATCACACAATTATTTGTCTGTAGCAGTCAGGGGTAACCCTGACTGGGGTAACCACTAGACCCACAGGCCAGTCACAATTATAACTACATTTTCTTGATTTTACCGAGGTAGGGATATGACGGAGTACCTATAAACTGTGTACAGATTTTTTATATGTGTGACATACTGATATTGAAATACTTAGAGGGTTTAGTTCTAGTTGGTCCATCCGACCAAGCGTAGGTGTTACTTAACTAAGTTATAAAAACTCTATTGATAAGTTAAAAATTATATGTTGGTAAATAAACATTTTCTTCATTGTTTTCAAACGATATAAATAACCTATTTGTATCGGTTTAAAACCAAACTTACACTCTCGCACTACCCTACACAGACATGAACATGCAAAAAAAGCCGCGCGCGACTGCTTCGCCGCGAACGCAAGCTTTTCACTGCAGGTGCGGATACAAATGGGGGAAGGGTATAGAGGCATGGGGCCCTGCTCACAATAACTACTGGTGGGGCCACTTTTAACAGCCCAATTTGACAGCAGACATCTCTCCAGACAGCTGTCAAGATATATATATATATATAAATATATAGGTAAGTATACATACTTAAGTTTTCCTGTAGTAATGTAGGTGTGTGTATAAACTAATTAAAACGAAACATGACGTCAGGTGACCAAAAATTGCCTATGATGAAGTGTAAAACACAGTTCTTTTAATTTTGTAGACGAGTTTTCAACCGTTTAAAACGATTTGGGGTTTTAAACGGCAACATTTTATTTAAAACGTTTGAAATCGGTTGATTTACATCTATACTCTTAAGGTTGATGACAGGAGTGAAAAAAAAAAACAGAAAATCCTCATTGGAAATTAACATTTAAAATAACAATATAAAGACAGTTGTTACGAAAATCTTAAGCAAAGCAAAAAAAAAACTTATTATTAGTCAACTGATTGAATCTGATAATTTTTTAGATGTACATATTCTCGACTGGCTGGCTGTAGAAATTTTTATAGATGTAATTAATATACATAATTACAATACAGTAGGTACTCCTTAAATTTCAATTATAACCAACAGAACTCTTTTAAGAACAGGAGTAAACCATTAGTGCCAAAAGTTATAATGTTAAGGAACTTAGTAATTTCTAAAATCATCAAACAATAAACTAGGGTTTGATGGTGGTATATAAATTGCTATTTATTTCATTTGCTTATGGTAGGCGTCATTTTCGGAAAACAACTTGTATAAAAAAAAATAAACACCAACCTTATCGTGTATTGATGTGAACCAAGAAAGAAAATAGTAGGAAACTTCTAAAATATCTAAAAATACTGTTTTTAAAACTTACTACAGTTCTATCTCTTTAAAAATGTTGTAGTTCAGTAAACTATAAAATGGAACAACTAGTTAATTGAACTTGAATATACATATATCAGATGAACTTGGAACGCGGCGTTACTTCGTTTTCGCAAAGTCCCATCTTTACTTTTTTATTTGATCTGAGATTCATACTTTGTTGTTATGTCAAAACTTAAGACTGTTGAATCCTCCTATACAGTATATTATCATACTCCGTCGGCTGCGTGCGTATCAGAGATCGGAGCACGTGGTGTTTCTTTAGATTCCAAACACAAAACTTTATAAAAGGCCCTCCCGGTGTAACAAACGCGCTAAGCTACGTCTCGGGAATTTCATACTAATAGCCACACTTCAAAGAAAAATGGCACATCCTAAAGAAGGTAAATAATTTTTATTTATTCAAAATAGTTGTTATTTCAGTTCTGTCAAAAGTATTACCCGTCTAAATTAAATGGTCAGACCACATTACATTATGCACATTTTTTTTAATGGTCTTGTTAGAGTTGCTCGTTTCGCTCGGAACCTTTTTTAAGCGGCCTTGAGCCTGGAATGTGAAGTGTTGAGATTTTAGATTGATGTGACTCCTTTTTATTATTTTAATAACAACGTATTTATTATTGATTAACTACACAATGTCGCTTGTTATCCTTATGAACTTGTGTCTACATAACAAGTGCATTATTAACGTATTTAAATAAAAAGCTTTTATTTCATTTTTATTTGAAACAGTTGATTCTTCTGTAGTAAATTCTTTTTGAATTTAATTCTTTTTGTTCAATGTACTTACCTAAAACTTTATTATAAACAAAAAGTTATAACCAATTACTCTCATTAAAAAAAAGATTCCGACGAATTAAGAACTTCTTTCTTTTTAAAGTCGGTTGAAATGGCATAAGTATGTTATTCAATTCCTTAGTTCCTTAGTATGTAGGGTTTGATCAAATTAATTTTTAGTGATCACTTTCGTATTTATATTTTATTAATATGATCAATGCCAAAGTGGGTATCTTTGTCTGTTTGGCACTCTCTCATGCCTTAACTACCTAACCGATCATTATAGAGTTTGCTTAAGTAGATATAGATACACGATATCTAGGGTACTTACATAATAAGACATCGGGTATCTTTTATCCCGAAAAAACTGCTACCCATGCCCGAAAAATAGTTTTTTTTTTTTTTTGCAAGCGAGCATCAAGGATATTTAAATTAAGTGTATCCCTGCCATTGTACGGCCGTTACTTTTTTCTTATGTAAACTCTTCTATAGAGTTCACCTATTCTTGATTAGGTCCTTTTCATGTCAATTCATGGCAGTCCTGACGGCCTATTCTAGTAATAATAATTCGGTCTCAATTCAGTTCCGATCAACTCTCGATCACACAACTGTTATAAAAGGTATTTTCGTGGTGGTTCGGTGGTCTTGGCCTACTATACCACGCTGGCCAGACGGGTTGGTATAGAGTTTGTTTCAAGTTTACTTCCTTACGACACGTATGGGATGAATAGGGGTTGTGACATACGGACAGCTTTTATTAGAATGGAAATAATTTTAAGTTCGAGCTATCTTTCGTTCCCCATCTTTAATACATATTTCTAGTCTCGCTTGTATATGTTAACATAATTATGTTGTTTTGTCATGGTTTTCAGTTGGTGGTTACAACCTAGGACGCCTCATCATCGAAGGCAAGACTAAGCAAGTCTTCGATCTACCAGAAGTTCCCGGGCACTGTTTGCTTCTCAACAAAGACCGCATCACCGCCGGCGATGGAGTTAAAGCACACGACCTGGAAGGGAAGGCGGCTATTTCTAACCAAACCAATGCTAAGGTGTTCGAGATCCTCAAATCTGCTGGTAAGTACCTAATGGTAAAATGAAGTGAACGTTTTTTGGTCTCGCTATGTGTAGCTAATGTTACCTCTAAAGATTACCTCTGTCATAATAATGATAATATCAAAACTTTTTAAATATAAATGCAAAAATAATGACAACAATAATAATGAAAGTTGATACTAAATTTTCGGGTCTAGAACCTTGACTAGGCTAACTATTTAGATTTGTGTTTGACCTCAGTCAAACTTTGCTTAGTTCTTTGTTTAAAAGCCAATGAAATCCATAATAAATAATACTTTCGATTGTTTTATCTGAAGAAGCGTTAGGCGTATATAGGAATATTTTATAATAAAAAAAAACTAATATAGAGGTAACATTTTACGACGTTCTAGAAAAACCATGTTTAACAAAATGTTACTGGCCAATAATATGTAATGCACCATAACGGAGAAAAATGGCAATAGTTTGTGAAAAAAACTGGCAGAACGTAAATTTGTAAACTTGTGGATTAGTTATAAATCTTTTTAAAGAAAAGTGTAACCGACTTCAAACCAAACTAACAAAAAGCATTAAAAACTTGGCAGCAATTGCGGTTGTTTTGCTGTCATTTTTAGAAAAGTTCCATTGTCTGTCTCCGAAACTCATCATCAGATCTATATGAAAATTAAATGGGACCATTTCGGAATAAACCCCTTTAGAAACAAAAAAAAATTTAACAATCCGTCTATATATGACGGAGTTATGCCCGAACATACATAAAAAATATGAACATCCGAATTGATAACCTCCTCCTTTTTAAAGTCGGTTAAAAAAAGTAAATAAGCTGTTGCTATTTGCCGCGTTATCTGCGCATTATTTACCTTTTTATTTAATTATCACGCCCATTTGTGGATTGCCTATTGTTACGTAAAAATTGTGTAATAGTATGGTTAATATTCTAATGACATATGCGATAATAGACTGTAGGTATATTGTTATAAAATATACATTACTATAACTGTTAAACTTAAAATATTCCTTAAATTAATGGCAGATAATATCGTAGTTGGACTAGTTAGGATGATTGCTGTTATGTGTATCAAGGTTACGAATTTATTTTTTATGTACGTCGTACTATTTCCTTATTCGTTTGTCATCGTATTTATTTCATCATGGCCAGTAGAGGCAAATGTATGGATGCAGTAGATGTATCATATTGTTTTTAACAAATAATTGGTCTAGTCTAATAAACTCGATGTAATACTACGCTTATTTATCGTTCATTAGGTATTATTGCACATGATATTGCATCGCTGCCCAGTTTATATTAAATAAAGTACTAAGATATGTTTTAAAAACTTTGACTGAACTAAAATTTCCCGCCTTACATTTTGTAACCATAGAGAATGAAATATAATATTGGAGTCACGTGTAATATTGATTCTTTTGACACTATCCACAGTCAAAAGGAGGTTGTAATAAGTTCTTGTGTTATTTTGTTGATCCCGCATGACCCCTTAATAAACAACAGATAGTAATGTAATAATTATGAAATATTGTACATATTTAAGGTCATATTAATAATATTTATTGAGTTTGTTCTTTATTATCAATAACGAGCTTGTTTTTTTAAACAACATCAAGTCATTTACGTCATAAGATGAATAGGTTCGGTAACATTTCTGATAAATGTAGGAATATTACATCTATTTATCAAGAATTGTATGCCGCCCATATGGCATTAAAGTTATGTAACTAGATACTACTAATCGCTTCAATAGTCACATTTTGAACATTTTTAAAGTGTAGGAAAATATCATTTTTCTTACTAATTCTTAGTTACGGTATTCGTTAATATAAGTATATTAATGATAGGTATATTCATGATAATATAAGTATATAGATGATACTGTGAAGTATATGATGATGTTTATACTTCACAGTGAATATCCTATGGCTCTTGGAAAGAGGATTAACAGTTGTGACAAAGGCAACAAAGCTCATGTTCGTACAGAATATTTCAGCTTTCTTTCTCCCTCTCCTCTCATTCATTCTTCTCTTTGTAATTCATCTGAGACCCTATTTTCAGCTAATGACATACCATAGCTTCAAATCTACCCCTTCCCCCTCTTTCCTCTCTCTCTCTCTCTCTCTCTCTCTCCCTCCCTCCCTCCCTCCCTCCCCCCCCCTTCTTTCACTTTCTCTCTCTCTCTCCCTCGATTCACGTTCTGGTGGAAGTGGATAATTGGGGGAGTTAATTAAACAGGCAACTTCGCAGAATACTGAGCGATGTGTGATGCTCGTACACATCTTAACTGGCAAGAATCTGCATCGAACCTGGTTTTAAGCACTTATTCTGAGTCTTGATATACATATTATTTCAAATTTCCTAGGATATACCAATAAAATCTATAGAAGTATGTTATGATAGAATTAAAAGAAAAGGAATGATGCAAGTAATACACAGAAGTGGTAGCGTTAGAGTCAACAACACACGGCATTTGACACTTTATTTATGACTAACTTTTGCCCGCGGTCCCGCCCACGTAAATGTCGTTTATCGCGGTAAAAAGAAGCCTATATGTTTCCACAAGAATCAAAGTATCTCCATACCAATTATCTAAATCGGTTACTGCGTCAGCGATTACACCTTCTTCACACATAATTCTACCCCCCTTTTCACTCCCTTAACGGATGGTTTCTGGTATAAAAACTTCCTTATGTCCTTTCCCTCGACTCGGACTATCTCTATACTAAATTTCATCTAAATCGGTTCAGCGGTTTAAGCGTGAAGAGGTAACGGACGAAAAGAAAGACAAACAGACAGACACACTTTCGCCTTTATAATAATAGTATATATGAATATGGATATAAAAATATGTAGTTTTGATTACGGTTAGCTACTGTTATACTGCCATTTCGGTTGTAAATTCTGATTACTAAAAAGTAATTACTCAGAGTTTACGTTAGGTTCATGAATCGTATAAGCAAAAACAGCACCCATACCCCTTATATAAATTTATAAAAACCAGAAATTGAGTGCACGGATGGGGCAGTGGTTTACGGATAATGTTCTGAGTCTCAGTGTCCTTTTGTCCGTTTCATGTATGTTTGTAGAATCCCCTTTACACAGGATAATCCGGGCATTGACTTTTTTTTAAAGAAAGAGCATGTGATCTGTGCAATTTAAGTATTCTTAATTATTTTCAGGCATCAAAACCGCATTTGTCAAGATCGTAGCCCCCACTGCTTTTATATCCAAGAAATGTGAAATGATACCCATTGAATGGGTGACCCGAAGACTCGCTACCGGATCTTTCTTGAAGCGAAACCCAGGAGTCAAAGAGGGTTTCAGATTCACCCCTCCCAAGCAGGAAACCTTCTACAAGGACGATGCTAACCATGATCCTCAGTGGTCTGAGGAACAAATTGTGTCAGCTAACTTCAACTTTAATGGAGTTACTATTGGTAAGTGAAAAATCTATTTTGTAATTGAAGTTGCCCATGGCTTGTCTGATCATTCAGCTCATTTCGGTAAGCTCACTGTTCACGTGTCTATGTGTGCCATGTCACCATTATAAGTTTTAATATCTACGGCTTCGTATAAAAAACAGTACAACTTTTGATTCCACAAACACCATATATTTTAGCTTAAATTCACAATCAACAAAGGGTGTAATCTGTGACTGCAACCTTAGTCAATGTAGTGAGCAGATCAAGCGATCAAAGCAAAATAAAATCTCTGCAACAGTTATACGGCATAAAATAGAATGTCGTGAATTAAACTCGTAGAAAAATATTTTTGTATTCTTAATTTTTAAAATATATTTTGAGTTATCGTTAGTTAGTTCGTTAGTTCTAGTACAAAATTAAGTATTAGATATAAAGACAAGTTCATAAATAATTTAATTTTATTAGACTTTTGTCATCCTCACAACGATCCAGAAGTAAAAAGAACGAAGAACCACCAATAATGTTTAAATATAGAAGACTATATTGTGATGCGAATTTTTTATGACGTATGGTATCATGTTTTCGTTAATTTTTCTTATCAGGTCAGGATGAAGTAGATTATATGAGGAAAGCGACTATCCTGGTCTTCGAGATTCTCGAGAAGGCATGGGCTCTACGTGACTGCGCACTTATTGATATGAAGATTGAATTCGGAGTCGACTCTGAAGGTGAATATTTTGAAAATCTAATTATATCTATGTAAAACTTTGTTGCTCTAGACTGGAACCTAAAAAACTTTTTAAAACTTTGTTTTGCCTTCCATAATATACGATTAACTTCATGTAAATTAAGGTCATTTTAAAAAAAAGTACAAAAAATCAACTACTCGTATGTCTGAGGTCGATACAAAACAATAAATGTACAATGTTATTGATAATCATAATATTAATAAGTAGTTTCAGTGGCCATCTTTCATCTTACCAAATAGTGTTTTTAATTGCCTGTACTTTTTGAATATAGTGTACCTGTACTTTAGAGTCTGATCTTACTACTATGGCTTCTACCAGACGGATATATATAATATATCTGTCTGGTAGAAGCCATATTTTAGAATTAGATAAAAATATTTTTTGATTTCAATGTCATTTAAAGAGTAAATGACTGAATGAACCAAAATCAGTTTTAGATCTATATAATGTCCCTTTTAATGTTAACTTTCTATGTATTTAGGGAATATCCTCCTGGCTGATATTATCGACTCGGATTCCTGGAGACTGTGGCCCTCTGGAGACAAGAGACTTATGGTTGACAAACAGGTAATTATCTACTCACTTCTTTAATAAATAGTATAACTTAGCCGTTGCACGGCAACCTAATGTCATGGGAATAATCTAGGTACGATTTTCAATTGTCTTTTATTTTTCCAACACGAATATTGCCATCTGCTAGTGCCGAGTTTTTTTATTTGTGATATGATGATGTCAAATAATGTCATGGTCACAAAATAATTAGTTAGCATAGCAGGAGGAAAGAATACAATTAGATTTCATAAATTTGTAGTTTTTGAATGACCTTTTTTTAGTTAAACTTATTACGTACTTCTGCTACTTTGATACTATACTGAATATAAAACTTCACTTTAGAAAGTCGAAGAGAAACGGTTCCCATATCAATTTAAAGAATAAAAACCGGTCAGGTACGAGTCGAACTCGTGCGCCGAGGGTTCCGTACCTACCCAGATTTTACGTAGATTTTCGCGAAAACTTGAAAATACCAAAATTTACCTTAATTTTCAACTTTTTTTATTTTTTGGAATTATTCCTTTATTTGTGCTGTAAGACGTTTCTTTTTGCCAAATTTCGTGATTCTAGGATAACGGGAACTACCATATAGGTGTTCGACCCAAAACCTATAGGGTACTTCCGGTTGACCTAGAATTGTCAATTTTGGCTAAAAGCAAGGTCTTACAGCACAAGTAAAGAGAAAAATCTGAAAAATAAAAAAAGTTGAAAATTAAGGTAAATTTTGGTATTTTCAAGTTTTCGCGAAAATCGAAATTTGCCCATATCTTTTTATCGTGTTGACTCAGGACCTTGATTTTTATACGCCTAATAGGGACCATAGACCTCAGTATTTGGTATAAATTCAACTTGCTAGGTTTACCCGTTCCTGAAAAAATCGGTGGAGACACACGGACAGACAGACAAACGGACAAGAAAGTGATCTTATAAGGGTTCCTTTTTTACCTTTTGAGGTACGGAACCCTAAAAAATGATCTCATGTTTGAACAAAAAAAATATTATTTAGGTATACAGAAACCTCACCAATGTCACTGCAGCCGACCTGGACACAGTCAAGCGTAACTTCGCGTGGGTCAAGGATCAGCTCGACCACTTGAAACCTAATGTACACCACAAAGTCGTTATCTTCATGGGTTCTCCTGCTGACCAGGCACACTGCCAAAACATCGCTAAAGGTAGGTTATGGTATCCTCTGCAAAGATCAGTAATTAATAAAAACGAGAGATAGTCGGTGATATTCAGTTTCTACTGTTTTGTTTCTTCTCTATGGTGACGGATTAAGAATACGAAGTGTCACCACCCCTATTTATCCCATGGGTGCCGTTAGAGCTGACTAACAGAGCAAACTACGCAAGACAAAAGGACTGCAAAGAGAAGGAAAACTTGAAATAAAACTGCCTGACCAGCGTGGTATAATAGACCAAAGCCTCCTTTCTAAGGAGAGGCCGATGTCAAGCAGTGGACTATTAAAGGCTGTTAATCATAACGATAGTATAACTTGAACTGTCATTGATTAGTTTTCCGGTGATTTTGAAAGACACGGTGCATTACTTCCTACTAATAATGAACATCAATTGTAATTTTCACACGCAGGGAGAATTTTTGTATTTTGTTTTTTTTTACTTGAATATCCTTTTGAATTTGGAATAAGTATAACTCACAAGTTAACCGAAATGTTATGAAATATAAAATGAAATGTTAATTTTGATAATGCTATTCTCCAGTCGCGAGAGACCTTGGTCTAAATGTGGATCTCCGCATCACTTCCGCCCACAAGGCAACAGAGGAGACTCTCCGCATAATGCAACAGTACGAGGACACCCACGGCGCGCTCGTGTTCATTGCTGTGGCAGGTCGATCCAACGGGCTGGGCCCGGTGCTGTCTGGCAACACGTCTTACCCCGTCATCAACTGTCCCCCTCCCTCAGAAAAACTCGTTCAGGTACGTAGTTATTATAGAAAAATAATTATTATTAGAACAGGGTGCAATATGTAAAAGTTGGCATTAGGGTACCATGCAATTTGGCCCAAAAAACTGTCAAAACAAAAAAGGGTTTTATTTAACATTTCATTAACATATTAAATAATAATGTTTCATGTAAGTTAGTAATGCCATAAAAGTACAAGCACCAGATAATAAAAAAGAATGCACTATAATTTACAAAATAATTAGTTATTTCATCACCATTATATTGAAATCGAAATATCAACTCTTCTGTTTTCTACTTAACACACATTAAAAATGATACTAACTTACCATTGAATGTTTTCAGGACATTTGGTCATCACTTTCCGTTCCTTCCGGCTTGGGTTGCGCTACCGTCATTTACCCCGACAGTGCTGCCCTCATGGCTGCGCAGATCATCGGACTCCAAGACTACATAGTGTGGGCCCGCCTCCGTGTCAAACAGTTGGAAATGGCGACCTCCTTAAGACAAACTGATAAGAAACTCAGAAACCAAGTCTAATTCCTACATTTTAATACACATGAAATAAATACTATTCTCTACATAATGAGTTTAAACCAAAGATCAAGTGAAAGTAATAAAATTTGTTCATTCCAATTTTAAAATGAGTATGGTAAAAGTTTTTAGACTAAATGGACAGCTATGAATACTAAAATTACCTGTTGTTTTTGTAAGTAAACAGATACTGATTTGACACTGGGAGTAGAGGTAGTATTTTTTAACATAAGGTATTAATGGTGTGTATGTATGTATGTATATATGTATGTAATGATGACCAACGTACACAACATCTCAACTACATGTGAGTTGAGTGAGAGAGTTGATAATAGAATATTTGCTTAATTTTTCGAAACAAATTTCAGTTATGGTTGGTTTTATAGTTTTTTACCCGTTATGAAGTGAAAATAGTGCTGCCGTTTACATTCCTCATCTCAATAATGTGATTGTAATAAAATCGAGTATATTTAAGTTGTTTTTTTTTTATTTCTGCCTGCCAGGGTATGGAGCAATAAAGATAAAATTATCAAAACTTACAAAGGGAGTGGTCTGAGCAATTGTTCAAACTACTTCGGATTTTTCGGCCGCAGTTTTCCGCCATCGTACAACGCGACAAAATTTCCAACTCCTTCGCTTGGATACTCGGCACTCCGCAATTAGTTAAAACTTTCATAAAAGTTTCCACCAAGTTGTGGAACAAATCGTCACCTGAGGCATTGCCAGACCGCATATCGGTTTGGAAATACCTCAGGTGATGATTTGTCTACCTACAAGCCTTCAAGGAGGGAGCGCACATACTTTCACCTTGAGGTGCGGAAGCCGCTTTCAGGCGTCCGCTGTTCGCTTGCCACCTATGTCAAAAAAAAATTAGTTAAGTTGTAGTTACGGCTTGCTGTTCAGGTCTAGAACTGCATAAAGTTTGAAACTTAATAATTTCAGTGTGTGAAAGCTTCACCTACTTATAGTTAAAACGCTATGACCCTCTTAAAATGGTGATATACGCTCGTAATATATATGTTGAGGAACCAATAAAAAGTCATTTAAATACTAATAAATCCTCGACATCTATGTCGCTACCCTCAAAGTTTATTTATTAGCTCTTATTTACATGCACCAAACGAATCCCGTCGCAATCACTTAAGCACTCGGATTACTACAATTTTAAAATATGAATATATCTCTGTTTAAAAAGTTTTAATGTAAATTTAAGTATACAAATAAAAGTAATTTATTCCTGTTAACATAAATTGAGATTTTTCTCTTTTTATTACATTTAAGTTTCCGAACTAGAATTTTAAGATCTCAATCTGGCTTACAAAATGTCAATGTCAACGTTTTTGCAAAAGTGTCGAGTTAGTGCGTATTGTGGTATTGTAGTTATAAGAATTTCTCTTAGATTTATTCATACGTACAAAATGGCAGAGAAATCTGCGAATTATGCCGCTGCCAATGGTTTTGAAAGCAAAACACCATTTTTAATCGGAGTCGCAGGCGGCACTGCCAGCGGAAAGGTAAGTCTTAATTAATACCTTTGCTGTAACATTATCGATTTTTTATTTTTGTGCATATATGTATGTTTTACTATTAAGGAAATGGTTAAATACTTAGCAGAATTCGGAACTGTGAAGGCAAGGGTATCATATGATGGCAGCATCCTATTCTTATTTGCATAACCTCAACTTAGTAACCTCCATGTCCAAATATTTAGATGAAACATCCGTCATAATACTGCAATGAGAACAATCACGTTTTGTTGCTACGGACTATGATTGTTTAACATACCTATCATGTTTATTTAAATGTTTTTAAACACCCATGTTTACTTAGTAATATTATTGTGCAACAAAATTAATAATAGAAATAAATCAGAGATATGTTTAAATCTGACATCAATACAAAGTGTTCCTTAATGATGTTCATCTGGATAAAGCAAAAAATAAATTATACATATAAACATTATACTCATTTGTTGTTTATGATTTGTCCTATTTGAAAATTAAAACAGTCTCAAGGATTGTTGGCATCTGCCCTGTGGTTGGTCTTAAATAAAACCAGGCAAACCTTTTTGCATTGTTACTTGTTATACAAAGCCTAAATTAAAGCAGTAAGAAGATGAGGATTTGTGTTTGTGATTTGATGAACATTAATATGAGAAACAAAAATTAAATTGTTCATCATGTTATTTAGTTATGTCTGATAAATTATGACTTATAGTCCACTGCTGGACATAGCTCTTTACTTTAAAAGGAGGTTTGGCCTACTTTATCACACTGGCCAGATGTGCTGGTTCTTAATCTGTCACCACACAGATAATAAAAGATACACAGTGTAAGGGACATCGTAACAAATACTGAAATAGTGTATTCAGACAATGATTCTTAGTCGAAAATCATTGGAATTTTCTGCAGGAAAATTGAACTTTTTATTCAATCAGCTGTTAAAGGTAAAGGTCATTCCCTGTAGGTATCGCACAAAAGTTATAACTACATGTGTATTCCTTACTTACTTACTTACTTCCTTACTTACACCCTGTATATTATTAAAATATTATATAATATATTAAAATAGATATCAGTGATTTCTGATTACTATAATGAAGACATCTTAAATTGCTACATTAATTTGTTAATAAAAACTATTGTGATCCATTTAAAAAGTATTGGATTAAAGTATTAAGAAAACAAATCTAAGAGATAATAACTTTTTATAAAATAGGTTTAATAGCTTCTTGTGTGTAAAATAATAGACCTGAATTAATATTTTATTCATTATTGTACCTGTAACATAAATAATAGTATATTTTCAATTTAAATAAAAAATAAAAACAGCAATATGGTCCTTTTTTTTTTTTTTTTTTCCGTGCGGAAATCCCCTCGGATACCACCTGTCGGTGGCATGTCGGACTCGAACCGACTAAAACCGCACGCCTTCGCCGGGTACTAATAGCCGGGGAACCAGGTATACCCTAGAAAGGAAGGCCCTGGTGCCCCGACATACCTCGGGTCATCTACAGACGAGTAGACGACCCCCGCCCCGTGTGGGAACCCCATGTTCCCTGTGCTCCCTGGAAGCGAGCGCGCTTCGCAACGCGCTCGCCGCCACCCCGGCCTGCTTCTGCTAGGGTGACAGATGGCCTCACCTGTCACCCCCAGGCCTGCGCTTATGGAGGACGAAGGTCGTTCTGCGACCTCCGGCGCCTGAGTCGCCTGCGCTGCCTGGCCCGTGCCCGGGCCTGGCGGGCCGGGAGAGTTCTAAACCTCTCCCGGTCCCGCTCCGCCGTCTCCTTCGCGAGCATAACTTGCTCGCAGAAGGAGACGGCAGAGTTCCACGCACTCTCGCTCCGCACGATAGCCGCAATCAGGCTATCGAGCGAGAGAACTCCCACTCCGATGGCCGCCACGAGGTCTCGCCTCTGCTCAACCCACGCCGGGCACTCTGCCAGCGTGTGGAGAGCCGTGTCCACGGTCTGGCCATCGCAGTGGTGGCACTCAGGCGTTGGCTCCTTGCGGATCAGACACAAGTGATCTCCGAAACATCCCTTCCCAGTGATCACCTGCGTCAATCGGTATGAGAGGGTCCCGTGACGCCTCTCGAGCCAATCCTCCATAACGGGTCTTACCGCCGCAATGACGGCGTGCCCGGCGCTCGGTTGCCCGAGTCGTTCCCTCCACTCCCCTATGATGACCTGGCGGAGTTGGGATTTCCGGTCATCGATTTCTCGAATCTCGGGGTATCGACCCAACTCCTGCGCCTCCTTGCGCCACTGATACAGTGCTGCAAGGGCTCTCGCCTCCAGGTCCCACGGTGGAGTTCCGGCCAGGAGACTCGCCGCCTCGAAGGAGATCGTGCGGTACCCCCTTATGATCCTGATGGCCAGCATTCGCTGCGGTCGCCGCAGTATCGCGACGTTGCTGGCCTTCAGGGCCCCCGCCCATACTGGGCACCCGTAAAGGGCCATGGACCGCACAACCCCCGAAGCAATATGGTCCTGTGATTATAATAATAATATAATATTTTTTATTATGTATAATTATGTAAAACATTATCATACAAAAACACAACTTTACTTTACAATATGACAGATGGATAGATTATAGATTTTAATTAGTTATTGACATGAAAAATTCCTACCAGTGCTGTTCAATACCTTATTATTAAGAAAAGTACTTATAAAACACCCACAAAATTGTTGATACATGTCCTTGTTAGGAAGATTTTCAAATCAAATTTATTTTGTGAAGATTATTTCGATGTAAGTAGCAAGTTATTGCAATACTTATTATTGTGTACTTAATATCATTTTACTAAACCTAACTTTTTTAAAGATTGATTTTTCTTAGGAGTACTACAATATATACAAAGTGGATCAAACCTTTTCACAAATTTGCCTAACATTATACCATGCATTGTTTTTAGATGATTTGCAAAATTTTGAACAAAATATAATCAGTGGTTTAGAAACAGGACATTTTTTTTTTGTTATACAGCCATAATACAATAACTTTAGGCAGTGATCTACTGTATATGCTTAACGTCATACATTGCCTCTTTAACTAGACTCTATTGATTGATTATTCATCAGGACACATGTATATTATTGTTTTTTTTTTTAAAGTTGATAGACATGATAGATATGGTAGCAACGATACTTAATTGTTTAGTCTTATTACATTTCTCAATATATACAGTACTAGTGTGAACAGATGTTATCGTGTGTGCGAAAGTAGACTTCGTTTTATTGTTTGTTTTTTCGTGTTTGCCAGTGCCTACAACAGAAATGAGAGAAAGAAAGAAAATGTGTGCTCGCACCTCTCTCAATTGCCCCTACAGTAATATACGAAACGTAACTCACTCTCTTTCTACCTTCACTAACTTATATATCCCTCTGCACTTCCGTTCGCCGCTCCCGATCACAGGTTTCGTAACGCTCTCGTCACGCATTCACCAGCTTACTCCCCAAGTCAAGTTTAGTCAAGAAGTTTTAGTTCAAAAAGGTTGCTTGTTGTTTTGCTTCTTTTTGCTGTGCTTAAAGCGACATTTAGCAATGGTCTCTGCCGGAATCTTGTTGGAGAGGCATATTTTTGAGACAAGACAATCTCTTACATCGATGCTCGTAGTCGGATACGAACTTTAGCGCTCGAAAGTCAAGGTAACGCAGAAATTATTTTTGTACACCTTCAATGCGCGATTTGTATATTTGATATTGAGGGTTCTACGCCTGCGAGGTATACTCTAAACGCTGCGTACGAAGGTACAATATAGAATTTTAATAGGTTTATAAATAAATATAATACACCCAGACACAAAACACATGATCATGCTCATCCTGAATGTGTATCGAACCCTCAATCTCTGGCTTATCTGGATAAAAGTTCTAAGTGTATGTATGTATGTGATGTACGAGTATGTAAAGTACTAATTTCTGTCAAAGTCAAGTGCCCTCCCTCACCCAGCTACTTGGAGTACTGTTCGTAGGTAAAACTACCTAAAACGAATTCTTCAAACTCCAGTCCACAGTATGTCAACGCATCATGGAGAAACTTGGACAACAGCACAAAGAACAGACCGAACGCCGAGTGGTCTGCGTCAGCCAAGACTCGTTCTACCGCACACTAACGCCCTCCGAAAGACTCCGGGCTGAACGGGGGCAGTTCAATTTCGACCACCCTGATGCTTTTGATGACAAGAAGCTGTTAGCTATCCTCAAGGATATATTGGCTGGGAAAAAGGTTGAGGTTCCAGAATATGACTACATCACTAATTCCATAAGGTTAGTGTTATTTTTTATACGCCTTTTTTACTTCATTTCTGCCTTAGTATAACTTTACTTTTTTTACTAAAAAAATTAAAGACAAATTTTTAACAATTAAAACACACAAATTAGGTACATATTAGACTGTGCGGTAGGTATACCTAACTTGTGACACTAACTAAATATTTTTATTTAGCCCCTTCCGCTCACACACCATCTACCCTGCGGACGTCGTGCTGATCGAAGGCATTCTCGTGTTCTACTTCCCAGAGATCCGCGAATTGTTCCACATGAAGCTTTTCGTCGACACTGACTCCGACACCAGATTGGCTAGGCGAGGTAAGAATGCTAATTCTGCGATTAAATTTAAAATGGCAATTATACGTATCGTCTTATAATAATAATATCTATAATTAACGACACGGATTTCATGATTTATAAACTTATACGAAACGAAATAGGATTTATTCAAACTGTAATGACCAGTGACACTGATTTAAATCATACCCAGACCAATCGTTATGCATAATTTTTTTGAATGGCTATTGTTTTACATTTTGAAAAAAAGCTTGTGTAAAAACAAATACTAATAAATTTATTTCAAGAAGCCCAATACAAACATAATTCAATAGCTAAGAAGTTTGCAGAAAATATTGTACCCTTGAGGCTTAAACCAGGACACATCATGTATCTTAGGCGTATTGAAAGAAAACCTTGTCAAGCATTGTTAATATTGATGATACTGTTCCAGTGCCCCGCGATATAATGGAGCGCGGCAGAGACTTGGAACAAGTACTCAATCAGTACATGAACTTTGTCAAGCCAGCGTTCGAAGAGTTCTGCCTACCGGTCTGTCTTTTTGTATCTAATACGACACCATATTCGCAGCTTTATTACTTTCGCCATTCCTACTTTTGTCTACAACGACACAGGAAAATCCTAAATGCAAAAATTGTTATCTCTAAATAAAAGCGTGGGGAAAAAAATTGCACGCACTTTAAAAAAAAATTGGAGTACTTGAAAGAAGAATGTTTTTAAACGATATACGCTACAAACATTAATATGTTTTCGATATGTATATGGTGACATATCATAGTCGACTTGTATACAGTGACGGTTAAAGCTATACTGGTTAATTAAATAAACCAAGAAACGCTCAATAAATTATGCTCCACATTCCTTCAGGCGATCTCTAGCAAAAAAAGGGGATAAAATATTTCAATTTCAGTGTCCTCATTATAGAGGTAAAAACCTAGTGTCTTCATAATACATATTCTCAATGAAAATACATACATGGTCATAATACCATACATAAATCTTTTACTATTAATTTACAGACCAAAAAGTTTGCTGACGTCATCATTCCCAGAGGCGCCGACAACTTAGGTGAGATGCTTTTTTAATTTATTGTTACACGTAGAGGTTTCTTCGTTTTAAGGTTTTAATAGTTTAAAACGTTCGGGATACTTTCGCGTTGGTCATTTATTTTTATTATTAAACCTGTTTTACTCAAAATCATCATTAAAATCAACAAAGTCGAGTCGGCAAAATTTGAATTATTCCAAATTTAAATCTGAAACGATATTTAATAGCTCTTAAAAAGCTAAGTTCAAAAGGTCATAGCCACTGCAACGAGGTCGTATACTGCATCCTGTATCCGAAAAAAAATAACAGTTTGCAGCGGCTATGTTCTTATGTAGCCAATATCGACCTTCCGTACGTGCGTTTAAAGTTCCTTTTGCATTGTTGCAGTGGCTATTGACTTAATCGTGCATCATATATGGGATATCATGTATAAGAAAAGAGCTACGCTGCTGAAGGTAACTAACGGTGTGAATGGACATCATGAGATTGAGGAAACCAATGGGAGAAGAATGTCTGGAAGCTCTGAAGACACATTAAGCCGATAGTTGAGGGTTGGACGCCGTTCTGTGACTTTGTGATCTAGGTAACGGCCAAGTTTTAAATTCAATTTATTTTCATTGACAGTTTTCTGTCATTAGGGAGGAAGCAGAGGATCAATCGGTTCAGACATTGTTGTTGTTTTGATTAGAGCCACTTAGCCGGATATCCGGCCATTTATTGCAACCTTTAAAAATAAAAAAAAATGAAACGGCAAAGAACTCTTGATTGCACAGACTCCTGCGACGTGAGAACGAATGAGAGCCGCGTTGTAAGATGAGTAAACATCATTTCAACTCCTATAGTCAGTTCATACCCAATATCGTTTTTGAAACCGCTATTGTTTTTCGCTATTTTTTGGTCGGGCGATATTATATCATACATATTGGAGGACAGAAACGCAATCTACAATAACGTTTGTCAAACCGGTTAAAGGTTACTGGTTGCCGAATCGTTATATTGTTGTTATTGTCTTGAACTAAGAACATATAACGTGGTACAGCGTACAAGTTTGAAAGTCACGAAGGCAAAACGCGGGCAATAACTAACGAATTCCTGTCTTTAGTGTCAATGCTTGGTAAAGACAAGAATCTACTTTATCCCTAAAAGACAAAATTACGAAAGATTAAAAAATTGTTTATCCTTTCAACGCCATTGTCGCATATGCGTGTCATTTTTTTGGCGTATGTGTTTATCTCGTGGTATAGTTCATCGTAACGTTATTACATATAAAATAATGGTTTTCAATAAGTTACATAAGTTACCACGAAACATGCATTTGTAACTACATCCACAATAAACACCTAACTGTCTATATTCGGATATCTCTTTTTTTTAATTATATTTTTCTGTGACATGTTAATTCGAAATTTAAATTGAGCGTCGACTCTTAAAAAAGAAAAAGAGGCCAATAACTATATCACAAAGTCACTAACTAAAACGATTTGGCCGCATTATGGATGTATTGTCTCAGTACCTCATAAATTGTGTTGTAAACGTTTTTTTTTTCAATATTATTACTTAGAGCGCATTCGAAATCGGCGAATCACTTAAATGATAATTAAACTGCTGTTAAAATCGTATGTGAAAGATTCTGTAGGTACAACTTCAATTGCTCCGTTGGCACCCTCCATAGTGTTTATACACCCCCATCCCAGATCACACTATGAGTTTTGGCGGAAAATTGTATCTGATAAGATCATGCTAAAACTAGAGACCTAAAAAAAAAAATTTGTGCAGTTTCCTGCATAGGTAATTACTTTTAAATTTGCCCAATATCGGGACATTGAAATTACCTACACTTTCACAGAATTCTTTTTTGCACGTTAATTAAAAATTCGTTGACAGTTGTCCCATCATAAGATATGGAATAACACCTATATATAGCCGCTTAAACTATTCTGACAGGGCGCCCTGCAGCCCACACCCGCCGACTTCTAAGCCGCTAATATTTAAAAAAAAAGATTTTTTGCCTCTTTGAAAGTGCTCTTAGTAACGTAGTTCTCTTATTACCATATTTATAAGGGTAGTTAAGGTCCATTATTGTTTTATTATAAGGCTGACGATTTACAAAGCATAGATTAAGTGTATAATTGATGTTGCCGTGTAATGGAGATGTGACTATATATTTATCTGGATATAATTTTTGTGCCTTCATTTGTGGCATACTTCACAGAGCATATTATGCATATGTAACATTTACATTTATTTATGGATTATTCATTTAAAAAAAACACCGACTGCTATTCATCCTGTGGTGGTCGTAAGGGAGCAAAATCTGCAGGATAACAGTACTGCAAAGAGAAGTAAAACTTGAAACAAACTCTATACCAACCCGTTTGGCCAACGTGGTATAGTAGGACAAAACCTCCTTTTTAAGTAGAGGAATATGTAAAGCAGTAGACTATAATTAAAGGCTTGTGCCGACACTTTGACTTAGTTGTCAAAAACTGCCAAAATTGTCAGATTGTCCTAGAGGCCTATGTCCAGCAGTTGACTGTTATGGGCTGGTGATGTGTGACTGCCGGGCTCTACCTCTTCTACTTTTTTAATAAGTGCCACTCGGGATGATGAAGGGCTTATTTTTTTTATAATAGGGCAATATAATAGCAAACCGACAATTTACCTTTAAGTGACTACCACCACCCATGGTCACCTGCAGCCCTGAAGTCTCAAGTGCGGTGCCGCTTTTTGAGTTCCTCTAGGGGAAGAGGGGGTTGGTCTCCAGCAACCTCACTCGGTGAAAAACAACGAAAGAATTAACACCATTGGTTTTCTTCGAGACCCTGGTGTCACTCCGGCTCAGCCGGCCAATATGTGGAGAAGCAAGGCTCTTCGACAGAACTACTTTAGTCGATTTTTATAATATGTATGATACACCAATTGTGGTTTTGAGTCTGGGTGTTCTTTGTGTCCGTTTCATGAATGTTTGTAAATCGCGACACGGGATATATGCCTAGTGCGGGAGTTGTCTTTAATATATAAAAAAATAAATGTAATATTAACATTACATCCCCAATTTTGATTGAAATAAGTGGATTAGTGTGTAACAATTATTCACATAAATCTTCCTCCAAACCTTTTTTTCGCCTGACTACGATACGGCTGAACTTCGGTTTCTTATGCGGAGCGAATTTATTTACATAAATATTACATTATTATTAGATGAAATTAATTCATCTATTTTTACTTTAATTTTAATTTTAATTTAAATCCATGATAAAATAGAGTATTATAATATTGTTATATCTCCATTACATAGTTAATTAACTATAGAATCCGATACGCTTCACAGGGTCATTACATAATGTAGTATACTCTTGATACAAATGCCCCAATATTGGACACCAATGTATTGGACATAAATACAAGATATTTGTTACGTATGTAAGGTATGGTTTGTAGACATAATTTTTAGCATTAACAAACTGTTTAACTAGGTATTATAAGGCAATAAGGTTCATTTTTAAATGTATTTATAAACGTGTTGCAATATGTATTGTGTAATATATCAAATAAACAGTGATAAGCCATGAACATAATGTAAAGTTCACACGGTTTCTATCGAAATTTGACATAATGAAGTAATTTTTGCCCAACTGCTGTGCTACTGTTGCCTGATGGCTGAGCCACTGTTGCCCGATGTAATAATTTTAGGAAAAAGAAGAATTTTAATAAATTGAACGTGTTGTGAATAAACCATTCAATTCACAAACTGGTAAAATTATTATTGTTATGCTAATTAACTGTCTAAAATCATCTGTGTTTAAATTAAGGAAAAACTAGTTTACTTTGTCGTGATAAAAATAATGACTTGAAATCATTATAATACAAAGGAGCTCTCACAGATTATGAATACAGATAATGTTTGATAGTTTAGCAAAAATATTTTTTTTCGGTTTGTGAAATTGACAAATTTGAAGTCAACACAACACGGTCCAAATGAAACTGTTGCGTCATAGTCAAGCCACAGTCGGGCCATAGTAGCGCAACACTTCAATACTATTTATCTACTTATTATAAGTTACTTATTTTTACAACTATTCGCACAATTTTCTTTAAAGACCTTTGTTCTTGGAGACTAGTTTTAATTTTAATTTTTTTTTTGATTTAAAGGTTTTTATATGTTTTAAAACTTATATAGAAGATAAAAAATAGATACTCTGTAGACTTCAAATTGTGGGTTCTGAGATTTTACTTCACAAGAGGTAAGTAGTCTTTTGTACTCTTTAATTTAATAGCTAAAAGTATTAGGCAAATATAATACCTATAATAAATTAAGAGTTGCCTCTAATGTCCCGTAGTCTGTGATGTGACGTTTAGAATTTCCAAAAGACTATATGCTTTTTACAAAAATTTAAATGAATGCCTTTTGTATCTCACTTATACTTGGTGAATACTTGTATGTCTTCAATAATTCGGTCTTAATGTAAACTAGTCTCAAATAAGTAACATCACTGCCTTAGATCTCTGCACTTTTTGCAGATTCGAAACTTTTATTAAACTCCGTACTTTACAGGTTTGATATTCTTACTTGGCAGTAATACCCTCGTTTATTTTTTTTTGGAGTAATTTTTACTTCGGCATAATAAACATTCATAGATGAATTCGTTTCGTTGTTCTAAAATTTCCAGTGGATCGATTGTTTTCCAAGTGAACGTGCTATTAAATAAGTTTATTTATGTATTTGAAAACATCTTCCAAACAAATTACTTAATGTTGAAAAATATTCAAATGAATTCCTATTCATTAAATTGCACTACAAATAAGTCTATAAAACCTCTTTACAGTTAATTTAATATTTTTAAACGCTTTGCTATCAGACTCATATTAATCCCAAAATGTTCTTTACTCAAATTTAAAACTTATACCGTTTCAAATACAGACCTATTCTTAAGTCTATTTAATAATCTGTTGTAGTATTAAGTACTGTATTAATGTTGAGTATTTTGTATGCATATTTACAACAATTCAGAAAGGATTTATTACTGCGGTTAAATTTCTTAATATCATTACTAAACTATTTCATGCATCACACAAAACCAGACTGATAGACACGCGTATGTGTCCGAAAAGACTAAAGATTAAATTGTCAGAGATATATATATATATATGTATTTAATATTTTCATATATTGTAAAGAAAAATTCCTAATTAGTCGTCGTGTTTCGTGATTTTTATAGTGTAATATGTATTTGTTAGGTATATTTGGTGTATGTATTAATTGTGTATTTTGCTTAATACGTAAGCTACAATGCACGTACGTAAACAATTTATTACCAATTTTATTCTTCCTTCCCGTAAAAAAACCTTTCCATTGGACACATGCCATGCCCAGTGAGAATATTCACAAGATTTAATATATTAGTAAATCTTGGGAATGTAAACCTAGATTGTTTTTATTTCTTGGATATATAGGTAAATCTAAGGCTTAATTAAATACTTTTTTGGAGTTTACTCCTTAAGAATTGATTTTAATATAAGGCGTCCAGAATGAAAAAAATATGAAGAGTAAAATTTAGTGATCGAATGACCTCTTTACGTTATTTGTGCAAACTGTCGTGCGCACCTTTCAAATGTGTGTGGATTGTTCTTAATGCGTAAACTCCAGTCGTGCGTTGGAGCTGACACATACACTTTTTTTTTTAATTATTTGAATTCTTAATATTGTGTATTAACTCGGTATTATATGCAAGAAAATTAGTCGTTATGGCCAATTCCAATAAATAAATGTGATAAAACTTAGTAGAAAAAAAAATATATACAAGTGTAAAATTGCTTATAGCGACATAAAAATATCGTACTGGATAAATATAGCTTAGAGAAAACATAGTTAATGTTAAAAAAAAATGTGTCTAAATTCTTGTGATTAATTCTGACTGAAATATTTTGTTCCTTTTTCGAATCTTAAATTTGGAATGACTAAGAATTTTTTTTGCGCAGTATTCTTCGTGTGAATATTTAAATAGGTCACGTACGCATTCCGATTGTAATTTGTTTATTTTCTTGACAAAATAGACATAGAGAAAAAAATAGCCAGACCCTCTATTGAAATAACGTAACATATCTATATATCTCACACAATTATTATGTGATTTATATAATACTGTATGTCTCTCTGGTGCACAATCGCATATATATTATATGCGCTATCGCATTTTAAGTAGCATTTATATACAAAACTACTACTATACAAGACTAAAATAAATTGTAAACTTTGTACTTTAAAGTATTTAACTCTGTTGTCTTTGGTAAAGCAGCCAAAACGCCGTAATGATAATTTATATAATGTTTAATAAATTTCCCATGTCAGGCTTGAAAAGCAATGTGGCGCTTATTGGACATCATCATTGAAGCTTCTCTCTCTTTCTTTGGGATAAATTTAAATCACAGTTCTTGGCTCGTTCCGTTAAATACAAATAAAACTCAAATGTAAGTCTTGAACAAACTGCAAAATATATTATAAATTAATAAGAATGAGACCAGCTTGTTTTGTTATTATCCTACTAAACGTTGTAGTACATGTATTATTTCTTAGGCTGCTTTATTATAAAACTAGTATACGTACCTAATTATATATTTTCAACGACTGTAAATTGCACAAATAATATATGAGTATTTCTCAAAATAAATGTACGTAACGAAAAGGTAGTAACGAAATATTGTTACGAAATAGTCCTTAGATGTAACTAAATAGTAACCATAAGGCTCGTTATACATTGGCGAAATATTGTGAATGCTCTTCATTCATTCAATCCGAAATATTTGTAAGTATGTACCCAAATACTTAAGGGGTTAGAAATAAAATAAGGGAGTAATCATTCATTTATTTATTTTAATCAAATTAAAAAGTTTTCCAATCTTTTGAAAATTAAAACCAGACGTTATTACATTTTTTTTTAATTAGAATCAGTATCTATTTGCGCTTTATAAATTCCTTCCAGACCAAGAACATTAGAAATAGCTGTTTTTAATTTGTATTTATTTGCAATATCGTTGGTAGCTACTTTTTTTAGTACTTTCTTCTCTTTGGTATCTGCTTTATTAAACTCTGTTTTTAAAGAATCTGTAATTGTGTTTAGCAAAATTCCTTTTCTTTTTCCGTCATGGACACATTTAGTAAAGTTTCTTCTAAAAAATTATTCGATTTTGTTAATGGTGTGTCGTCACACTGTCGAATTTCAATGGAAATAGCATCATTATCAGGCCTAATTTGTTTGGGTAATCGTTTTTTCAGAATTTCCACTCAGTTTTTCATGCGATTACAGGCCTGTCTTAAATTCTTATTTCGGCGTTTTAATTGAGTATTTTCTTCAGTGAGCTTTTGTAGTCTCTCCTTTAGGATTGTTGTATTATTTTTAGCATTTTTTCTTACTTCTAATGTGTTATTGTGTTTTGTCGTAGAGTTGGCCTTTTTTTTCTTTCAGCTCTTTTAGCATTGGCTTGCCTCCACTTTGCTCGAAGCTCTTGTTTTTCTTCTTCTGTAAGAATTTCTTTTTTCTTTTTGATATTTTCTTTAACTTTTTCCAAATGTTTAACACGGAGTTCCCCATATTTACTTGGTTTATCCTTTTCTAGTCTTTCTCTGTAAGCTTTTTGCCTTTCGGCATTGGTTTTTGGGGGCATTCCTAAAAAAGCAAAAGAAGTAATGCAGTTGTATATAAGCATTTGTATATAAGCAGTTGTAAGTAATAACCAATAAGTCAAATCAACAAGTATTGGGTATGTTACCATCTCTACAGAAGTGCCATTAGCAAGAGTTAAGTATTTGTAATAATCGGTATGATTCTATTCTCAAGCGAATTGAAACAAAGCCGAAGCCAAAGGCTTTTTAACCGTCTTCAAAAAAGAGGAAATTCTATTGAGAACTATAAGTAAGTATAAGGGGTAAAAAGTATGAAGTAAGTATAAGGTGTAAAAAGCTGTTAAATCACATAAAAACGTTATTTAAATGAATAAAGATGACTTTTGATTATTTTTTGCTGGTGGCACTTCTGTAGAGCAGATATATCCAACCCTTTTGCTATTGACGCTGTGTATATTTTTTTAATAAATTAAGTAGTGAATATTACCATGCTTAGTCAGGTTATAACAGTATACACTCAGCTTTATGTTGTACTTTTTCGTAACGTAACGAAATTCGTTACGAAATATTAGACAAAATGAGGTTAGAAAAAGTAGTTTTTTGATAAAAGCTGTTACAACAAATATGTAAGCTTATTAAATGTTCGTACCACACGTACAAAAAATGGGTAAATGAAGACTTACCGTTTTGTGAAAAATTTGCTGGTTTATATTTCCTGTCACGAAAAAGTGTTCCACAAAACACAGACGTTCTCACTGATTTTCACGATAAGTGTAATGGCTGAGACGTCGGACCAACAACAAATCAGAATGACGCTAGTGTTGGTCGTGTAAAAAAATTACGGAATCGTTCAGAAATCCTGGGAAAGTAGAAATAATTCGTAACTAAAGAGTAATAACTAAATAGTAAATGAAAGCGACTCATTTTGTTTTTTGCTTTAAATTGCCAATTCATTATGAAACCCCATAGAAAATCACTTTGATACAGAAACTGCGATTAATGTAGACCAATGATACAAAGAAATTTACAATAATTGAGTTACGTATCGCATTTTATGAAACAAAAACACATGAAAAAGGGAGAGTGGCAAATAGGTTTTTGTATGAAAAGTAAAAAACAACTATTTTTAAAATATCTAAATATTTGGTAATAAGTAAGATTATAGTGATAATTCTGCGTTATCTCAAAGATTAATATTCATTCTACAAAATTGTGTGTGTGGATTTTTTGTATGATGATTTATAAATATATAACTTTTAAACTATTACGACGCACACTTTTTTTGCATAGATGTACATGTTTTTTGAGAAATACTCATATATGAAAAAGGACTTCATGAAAATAATTTCCATTTTAAGTGACTGTTTGATGTAACCTCTTTATGTATCATATTTTTTTAATTAAGTAAAGTGTTTGCAAACCAATATTGTTGTTTTTTTTTCCTTTTCCGCAATTGTATTAGGATTTTAAATATATATTCCATAACGACATTATTGAAGAAACAGGTCTAATAATTTTTGCCTGGTTGCAATCCATTTTGAAAACAATGTTTTTGATTTTCTTAAAAAAAAATCGGTTCTACATTAAAGCCTATTTTTAGTTGTATTCAACTACTAGCAGTTCACCTCGGTTTCACCTGCGTTTTAAGCCGAAGCTCAGCACTTCGTCATATTTTATTTCATACACCAAGTATGAAAATTAAATTTTCTTTATAATTTGTTTTCGTGTATTTTTTTTAATGTTCTGATGGTTATTCTGATATTCCAACAAATAAAAGATAATAAAATATCTTCCGTTCTCTATCTGTTTAACCGCTAGCGTCTAGTATTGAGTTATAAATGGTGTAACCTGTAATGGCCCTGGGTGTTAGGTTCGCCATTGCATAAATGTGCATTTATAAATAAAGAAATATTCCCTGAAAACTCCAACTACAATAAAGATCCCCGTGTTTTCTTTATTTGAAATAGGAAGGTATTTTACGAGCTTAAACACTTCTTTTATCCAGTGGCCTAGTCAATAAACGTGTCAATCTGTCAATTTTGGCAGTTTTTGTCAAATAAGTCGAATCAGTCTTTAATAGTCCACTGCTGGACATAGGCCTCTCCTTAGAAAGGAGGGTTTGGCCTACTATACCACGTTGGCTAGACGGGTTGGGATAGTTTGTTTCAAGTTTACCTTCTCTTTGTAATGCTGTTGTCCTGCGTAGTTTGCTCCTTTAGCTTTTACAACACTCAGGGGATGATTAGGGGTTAATCCGTAAGCACACGGATTCGGGCATGGATACTAAAAACCCGCTTAATAAAGGCGACAATTGTCAGGTTACCTGCAGTCTCTAAGAAAATATTTTTTGACTTACCTAATTGTCGTGGTAAATGACAAATTTGTCACTTTTTCTGACATTTATCACAATGGAATATCGAGGCATGCATATGAGAACATGAGGGTAATTTAAAAAAAATATAACTTTACGTCGTACGTCTTTATAAAACAATTTTATGTTACTATTTGCTATTTGAAATTTATATATATATTTTTTACGACACGAAAATTAATTAATGGAAGTACATCACAGAACAATATTGGGAGTATGGAACTGCCGAATTGTCTTGACTTTGGATGAGGGTGCTCGTCGAAAATTTCTGACAACTCGACAAATATGTCCACCTGTCATGACAATTTTATTTAGTGTTTAATAAAGCAAATTTGACACAAGTATTTCCGAACAAATTATCTACAGACACACGCACCTTCATCACACATTCCACTATGGCAGAATTGTTGACATCGGCATTGTTTGCCATATACAATTTTTTTTTTAAATAATATAATATTGTCACAACAAGTCGAAACATTTGTAGATTTACCACCATAACTTTGTCAGTGATAATTTTTATTGAACAAAAAATGTTAAATTGTCTAATTGTCAACTGTCGTCCATCACCTGTCGCCTATCACCTGTCAATGTCGCGTTTATTAAATACGGAGGTTTCGTGTGTTGTTGTTGTTACTGTTGTTTTATTAATTATCTCTTGTATCTTCTTTTGCAGTGGCAATCGACTTGATAGTGCAACATATATCTGATTACCTGAAACGGAATCCTGCTCAGAAGCCAATAACTGTCATAGATTATGGATTATCCTCGTCCGTGCCGGGCAGTCCACAGCGCGCTGCCAAGGGAGGTCGACCGCACTAAGTTTATTAGGTAACAGTTCTACTGTCGTATTTTAGAAACATTCCACCAAATTTAATATTATACCTTAAGTAATTGACATTCCTATACCTTTTTGTAGTACTGATTCCTGGTTAGAATCAGTAATACTTTAGATTTTTTTTAAAACACTAATTGACTAATAATAAATGTAAGAACTTTATATAACTCTCACATGGTCGTCTGATCCTGAATTAAAACATGCCTGACCTATACCACACTGTTGATAAACATACTTATGGATTACTAAATATATAAATAACTATACTAAAGTAACTCTTTGTGAGTTTGTATTTTCAGGGTAATCTCTGGTACTACCGGTTTTATTTTGAAATTCTTTCACTGTTAGAAAAGTATAAGAGTATTATACATGAGTGCTATAGACTACTTTTTACCGCGATAACCGACATGTACGCTGGCGGAGCTACAGGCAAAACCTAATTAGAGATAAATTGCAACCAGACATAAGAAATGATCGTGCTGATGATACAATTATTTGTCCTGGGCGGTCAATATCGCTGACAAACGAGCCAGTCAATATAATACCACTTCATAAATTTTATTTTTGTTACAGGTTGTGCGAAAAAGCGATATCAGCAATGATTATTACATTAGAGACGTGACATGGATCGCGGCAGATTACTCTGAATATCGCCGTGTACCGTTTTAGTCTCTACTACGCTAGAGTTGTGAAACCGGGGCTGTACTGCATATGCAATTTGTACTATTCTCAAGTTGAATAAGTGAAAACTACACGTAGTGTTGGTATTGCTTTCATGACGTCCGGTTCTTTAAGGATTAGGGACACGAAATTTGTCATAAAATATTAGGTATTGAATAGTAGCTAAGCTTAAAAATCCTTTGATTACTTCTTTCTTATAAATAGTAAAATGATACAATTTTTGGTTATAAAAAGGGTAGTTTGTTAAATTTGAACGTGTTTTATACGCTTTCGAATAAGGAAACTTGCTGATCGCCAACCGTGTAGGCTTTTTATAATCAGGAAAAGAAATTCTCCTGAACACTCAGTGTTATTTTACAGGTATTTTAAAATATTGAATGTACGTTTAATTCGCGGTTGTGTCCTTAGTGGCCAATGATGGTGATAAGAAAAAATATTAGATAATATATTTTATTCGATTCGTGTAGTAGACGTTTTAAAACACATAAAAATATGGATAAAAAAGGGTGTTTAGCTCAGCTTAACTGTTTGCCCTTAAGCCTAATTTGTTGAAGTGAAAACTTCTTTAGCCGCCATTTATGGTAGGGGAAAAATTTACTGGTTCGCGTCACCGATGACCTCGACATGCTCGTGACGTATTACGCCAGACCAGCGACGCGTAGTTCGTGTTTTGAGTTTTTACTTCTGTCGGCAGTCCTTGTTACTGCCTCTGTTTGTTTTAGTGTGATAGTCTACAGTAAGATATAAATACGAATGTTCTTATGTTCTTTATTCTGAATAGAGGCTAACTTGACCAATAATAATGGTAAAAACTTTACATAACTCTCACACGGTTGTCTGATCCTGAATTAAAACATGCCTGACCTATACCACACTACTGATAAACATACTAATGGATAACTAAATATATACATAACTATACTAAAGTAACTCTTTGTGTGTTTGTATTTTCAGGGTAATCACTGGTACTATCGATTTTATTTTCAAAATTCTTTCACTGTTAGAAAAGTATACGAGTATAGAGGCTAACTATTTTATTTTTATTGTCTAACATATTTTGGAAAGGAATTGTGTAACAGAAGGCCGTGGAAGCGCGCGCTTTTTGGTTTGACCAATGAGAGGGCACGGTGCTAGAGTTGGCCGTGCGATGTCAAATGTTACAACTTATGTGTCTACTGTAAGGCTCGCTGGTTTTTTTAAATAAATTTGACATGACAACACAAACTACCCATTTACAAATGACATCTTAAAGATACTAATTCATTAATAGTGGAGTGTAGAATTTTAAGTGAGTACTATCTGACTCGAAGAACGGAAGTGTGCCTTGGGAATGAGAATAAATGTGGAAGTAGGTTTCGTATCCTATTGATATTAAAATTGTTCTTATATTTCTAAATTTTTAAACTTTAATCTGAGGACTGTAGTAGAAACATAGTCCGACTTGTTCACTTGATGTTTTACAGTTGAGTGCATCATGGAGTGTAGGGCATTGCCATCGTCCTTAGAATCTGATGAGGAAAAGAGAAGCAGATAATACAATTTGATAATATTAAATTGTATTATCAGTCAATTTATCTAAATGTACTGACCTGACATACCGTATAGGTAGTCCCTGCTTTGAGTTTTCAAAGTTTCAAACAACTGAAGGGACTACAAAACAACGAACACAATATTTATTTAACAACCTTTTATTAGTATTTTTCAAGCTTACCAAAGGTTGCGTGAGGCGGTCGTAGGATATCATACCTAATGCCAACACCTAGGGATTTTAAAGCACAAAATATTTTTTATTAATACTGATCCGCCTGTTTCTAAATTAAAATAA